ACGAGAGAAGTGTTAGAAGAAGCACAACGTGTACTTTTATAAAATACAAATTACAATAATAGATAGGAATGATGCAACGGAAAGTGTGCGCACGTGCAATGTGCTCTCATAAAGCACACACTCCAAACCAATCAGAACGCGAGATTCATAACAGTTATTTTATAATTACTTTTACTGAAAAACTGGATGATGTAAATTAACGTTTGAACCCATCTGTTCTAACTGTCATCCATTTTTAAAATATTCAACATGCAAATTGATAGAGTGCTTTACATTAATTCTACAAACATACTACATAATACCTTTCCTGGAGGGGGGATACTCCCCTATATTCGCTATACAGGTACGTGCCGCCAAACAGGGTACATGGTTTTCAGCGATTCTACTTTATAAAAAATATATCCCTACCCTAAACAGGCAAGAGTACCCCCCCCCCCCCGGGATACCTTTGTTGAATGGCTAGATAATGCATTTTCCATTTTATTTTTCAATTTTAGAATCCCCAAGGGAGACATTGACGAAGTTATTCATTTTGAACAGACAGAGAAAGAAGTAGGATTAAAATATTTAACTCAGTCTTAAAGCCATGGTTCACACTTTTCCTGGATTTCCTGGAAAAATCCTGAAATTTTGAAAAAAAAATTTTCAGGTCTCTGGAATACCCCTTTAAAATGTTAGTTCTGACACAAACTCCTGGGAAAAGTCCTCGACATTTCCGTTAGTATTAGGCTAAATATTAGCCAAATGAAATTAAAAGTTGGAGTGTTTTTTCTCTACCAACACTTAGTATGTCACTTGTTCTGAAGGGAAACTGTGTCACTATTTCTGACATGAAATTTCAAAGTCAAGGGTCCTGGAATGTTTACTTTCCTACCCTGGAAAACTCCTGGAAAGTTCCTCAGTAGTATGAACCCAGAATATCTCCCTCAAGATATTCATTTTTGTTTTTTTAATTGACGATCTTTGATTGACAGTCGTTGAAATCCGAGTCGGTGAACTAGAAATTGAACTTTGTGGGTCGCACTTTAACAATAATGGTAGTAATGTCCTTGCTGCTCAAACTGATACTGACTGTGTGTGTGTGTGTGTTTGTATCTATTTTCCAGCACATTGTCGTTATCTGTAATGGTCATTACTACATGGTACCAGTCATAAACCATGGAAAACTACTCTCCTGTCTGGACCTTGAAAGCCAATTTGATTGGATAATAGCTGATGCACAACACTCTAATGGTACAGTAGGTCGATATTCTTGTAAGGGCTGATCCAGGGGGGTGTAAACCACTTGAACTCCTGCCTGGAACTTGAAAAACAGGTTGATTGGATAAAAGCCGACCTGAAACACTTTGATGGTGGGTCAATATTGTGGCGTTCCAGAAATTATCCATACCCTCCCTCCACATAGAAAAATTTGGATTTTTGAGGGGTCGGTGGTGTGGTGG